TTGAGTTGGTGATAGCATTGAACCATCTCATCCTCTGTCATCCCCTTCTCCTCTTAATGCCAGCATCAGGATATTTTTCAATAACTTGGCCCTTCACATCAGGAAGCCAAAGAATCAGAGCTTCAGCTTCACCATCAGTCCTTCCAGTGAATACTGAGGGTTGATTTCCTTTAGGACTGACTGATTTGGTCTCCTTGTTGTCCAAGGAACTCATTAGAGTCTTCTCCAGCACTACACTTCAAAGGCATTGATTCTTTGGCACTGTGCCTTTTTTATTGTCCAGCTGTCACATCCATACACGACTACTGGAAAAGCCATAGCTTTGACTAGACGGACCTTAGTTGGCAAAGTAGTCTCTGTTTTTTAACACTCTGTCTGGGTTCAGTTCAGTCGCTCAGACGTGTCCGACTCTTTGAGACCCCATGAATCGCAGCACGCCAGGCCTCCCTGTCCATCACCAACTCCCAGAGTGTACTCAAACTCATGTTCATCGAGTCGGTGATGACATCCAGCCATCTCATCCTCTGTCATCCCCTTATCCTCCTGCCCCCAACCCCTCCCAGCAATAGGGTCTTTTCCAATGAGTCAACTCTTCACAGGAGGTGGCCAAATATTGAGTTTCAGCTTCAGCGTGAGTCCTTCCAATGAATACCCAGGACTGACCTCCTCTATGATGGACTGGTTGGATCTCCTTGCAGTCCAAGGGACTCTCAAGAGTCTTCTCCAACACCACAGTTCAAAAGCATCAATTTTTCGGAGCTCAGTTTTCTTCACAGTCCAACTCTCACATCCATACATGACTACTGGAAAAACCATAGCCTTGACTAGATGGACCTTTGTTAGCAAAGTAATGTCTCTGCCTTTTAATATGCTGTCTACGTTGGTCATAACTTTCCTTCCAAAGAATAAGCATCTTTTAATTTCATGGCTGCAATCACCATCTGCAGTGATTTTGGAACCCCCAAAAATAAAGTCTGACACTGTTTCCATTGTTTCCCCATCTATTTCCCATGAAGTGATGGGACAAGATGCCATGATCTTAGTTTTCTGAATGTTGAGCTTTGAGCCAAATTTTTCACTCTCCTCTTTCACTTTCATCAAGAGGCTTTTTAGTTCCTCTTCACTTTCTGCCATAAGGGTGGTGTCATTTGTATATATGAGGTTATTGATATTTCTCCCAGCAATCTTGATTCCAGCTTGTGCTTCTTCCAGCCCAGCGTTTCTCATGATGTACTCTGCATATAAGTTAAATAAGCAGGGTGACAATATACAGCCTTGACGTACTCCTTTTCCTATTTAGAACCAGTCTGTTGTTCCATGTCCAGTTCTAACTGTTGCTTCCTGATCTGCACATAGGTTTCTCAAGAGGCAGGTCAGGTGGTCTGGTATGCCATTACTTTCAGAATTTTCCACAGTTTATTGTGATCCACATAGTCAAAGGCTTTCGCATACTTAGTAAAGCAGAAATAGATGTTTTTCTGGAACTCTCTTGCTTTTTCAATGAACCAGAGGACGTTGGCAATTTGATCTCTGGTTCCTCTGCCTTTTCTAAAACCAGCTTGAACATCTGGAAGTTAATGGTTCACGTATTGCTGAAGCCTGGCTTGGAGAATTTTGAGCATTACTTTACTAGCCTGTGAGATGAGTGCAATTGTGTGGTAGTTTGAGCATTCTTGGCCATTGCCTTTCTTTGGGACTGGAATGAAAACTGACCTTTTCCAGTCCTGTGGCCACTGCTGACTTTTCCAAATTTGCTGCCAAATTGAGTGTAGCACTTTCACAGCATCATCTTTCAGGATTTGAAACAGCTCAGCTAGAATTCCATCACCTCCACTAGCTTTGTTCGTAGTGATGCTTTCTAAGGCCCACTGACCTCACAATTCCAGGATGTCTGGCTCTAGGTGAGTGATCACACCATTGTGGTTATCTGGGTCATGAAGATCTTTTTTGTACAGTTCTTCTGTGTATTCTTGCCACCTCGTCTTAATATCTTCTGCTTCTGTTAGGTCCATACCATTTCTGACCTTTATTGAGCCCATCTTTGCATGAAATTTTCCCTTGGTATCTCTAATTTTCTTGAAGAAATCTCTAGTCTTTCCCATTCTATTGTTTTCCTCTATTTCTTCACAGTGATCACTGAGGAAGGCTTTCTTATCTCTCCTTGTTATTCTTTGGGACTCTGCATTCAAATGGGAATATCTTTCCTTTTCTTCTTTGCTTTTTGCTTCTCTTCCTTTCACAGCTATTTGTAAGGCCTCCTCAGACAACCATTTTGCCTTTTTGCATTTCTTTTCCATGGGGATGGTCTTGATCCCTGTCTCCTGTACAATGTCATGAACCTCCGTCCAGTTCATCAGGCACTCTATCAGATCTAGTCCCTTAAATCTATTTCTCACTTCCACTGTATAATCCTAAGGGATTTGATTTAGGTCATACTTGAATGGTCTAGTGGTTTTCCCTACTTTCTTCAATTTAAGTCTGAATTTGGCAATAAGGAGTTCATGATCTGAGCCACAGTCAGCTCCTGGTCTTGTTTTTGCTGACTGTATACAGCTTCTCCATCTTTGGCTGCAACGAATATAATCAGTCTGATTTCCGTGTTGACCATCTGGTGATGTCCATGTGTAGAGTCTTCCCTTCTGTTGTTGGAAGAGGGTGTTTGCTATGATCAGTGCGTTCTCTTGGCAAAACTCTATTAGCCTTTGCCCTGCTTCATTCCGTACTCCAAGACCAAATTTGCCTGTTACTCCAGGTGTTTCTTGACTTCCTACTTTTGCATTCCAGTCCCCTATATTGAAAAGGACATCTTTTTTGGTGGTAGTTCTAAAAGGTCTTGTAGAACCATTCAACTTCAGCTTCTTCAGCGTTACTGGTTGGGGCATAGGCTTGGATTACCGTGATATTGAATGGTTTGCCTCGGAAATGAACAGAGATCATCCTGTCCTTTTTGAGACTGCATCCAAGTACTGCATTTGGACTCTTTTGTTGACCATGATGGCTACTCCATTTCTTCTAAGGGATTCCTGCCCACAGTAGTAGATATAATGGTCATCTGAGTTACATTCACCCATTCCTGTCCACTTTAGTTTGCTGATTCCTAGAATGTTGACATTCACTCTTGCCATCTCCTGTTTGACCACTTCCAATTTGCTTTGATTCATGGATCTAACATTCCAGGTTCCTATGTAATATTGCTCTTTACAGCATCGGACCTTGCTTCTATCACCAGTCACATTCACAACTGGGTATTATTTTTGCTTTGGCTGCATCCCTTCATTCTTTCTGGAGTTATTTCTCCACTGATCTCCAGTAGCATATTGGGCACCTACGACCTGTGGCATTCCTCTTTCAGTGTCCTATCATTTTGCCTTTTCATACTGTTCATGGGGTTCTCAAGGCAAGAATACTGAAGTGGTTTGCCATTCCCTTCTCCAGTGGATTAGGAGATTAACTCTGTCTGGTTTAGTCATAGCTTTTCTTCCAAGGAGCAACTGTCTTTTAATCAAATGGTTGCAGTTGTCATCCACAGTGATTTTAGAGCCCAAGAGAATAAAGTCTATCACTGTTTCCATTGTTTCCCCATCTATGTGACATGAAGTGATGGGACCAAATGCCATGATCTTCATTTTTTGAAAGTTGAGTGTTAAGCCAGCTTTTTCCCTCTCCTCTTTTACCTTCAACAAGAGGTTCTTTAGTTCCCCTTTGCTTTCTGTCATTAGAGTGGTGTCATCTGCATATCTGAGATTATTGATATTTCTCCCTGCAATCTTGATTCCAGCATGTGCTTCATCCAGCCTGGCATTTCACATGATGTACTCTGCATAATAGTTAAATAAGCAGGATGACAATATACAGCCTTGACATACTCCTTTCCCAATTTAGAACCAGTCTGTTGCTCCACGTCAACTTCTAACTATTGCTTCTTGATCTGCATACAGGTTTCTTAGGAGGCAGGTACGGTAGTTTGGTATTCCCATCTCTTTAAGAATATTTAATAGTTTGTTGTGATCCACACAGTGAATGGCTTTAGCATATTAATAAAGAAGTAGACGTCTTTCTGGAATTCTCCTGCTTTTCCTGTGCTGTGCTGTGCTTAGTCATTCAGTTTTGTCTGACTCTTTGTGACCCCATGGACCATAGCCCACCAGGCTTCTCTGTCCATGGGCATTCTCCAGGCAAGAATACTGGAATGGATGCCATGCCCTCCTCCAGGGGATCTTCCCAACCCAGGGGTTGAACCCAGGTCTCCTAGATTGCCGGTGGATGCTTTAACGTCTGAGCGACCAGAGAAGTCCATGCATATGGAGTGGGTAGACTATCCCTTTTTCAGGGATCTACCCGAGCCAGGAATGGAATCAGGGTCTCCTGCATTTGAACCAATGGATGTTGGCAATTTGATCTCTGGTTCCTCTGCCTTTTCTAAATCCAGCTTGAACATCTGGAATTTCTCGGTTCACATAATTCTGAAGCCTAGGCTGAAGGATTTTGAGCATTACCTTGCTACCACGTGAACTAATGCAATTGTGCAGTAGTTTGAACATTTTTTGGCATTGCCCTTCTTTGGGATTGGAATGAAAAGTGACCTTTTCCAGTCCTGTGGCCACTGCTGACTTTTCCAAATTTGCTCACCTAGATAAGCACGACGGTCTTATCACTCACCTAGAGCCAGACATCCGGAGTGTGAAGTCAAACAAAGCTAGTAGAGGTGAAGGAATTCCAGCTGAGCCATTTCAAGTCCTAAAAATCTCTGTATACCCAAATTATAGCAAAGGCACAGAGAAAATATTCAATAAATGTTAAATGAATGAGAATATGCCAATGAATTACTATGAAGTGGATACGAAAAGTCACACAAAATTCTGAGTCTATGAATGACTGCAGCAATAGGCAATCATAAATTATATCCTCAGTCTTCAAAAAAAATCAAAGAGAATAAGAGATTTTTTAAGTTTCAATTTGTTACAGAAAAAAAAGGACATTAAAATCTAGTGTTTTCTCACCTGAAGTCAGATTCCTAGCTGTACTCTGTGATTTCTGCATTTCAGTAGATTTAAAATTGAGATCATCCTGCATCATCTTCAGCTCTTGATTGGTGATAGAGGATATCTGTTTCATACGATTTATATTCTATATTTGCAGAGACATAAAAGTGGAAAAAATTCCATTGATTTAACTTTCCAATAAAACTCTTAAAAATTTCGCTAAAGGACTGGATGTTTTGAAAGGGAGTTCTTTTTTGAAATATATCATTCATTATGTATATATATTTTATAAAAGAATACATGATATTCAAAGTCAGATTTCTCAGTAAGGAGAGGTTAAATTAAAATTCAGAATTGTTTCTTTTATATTTGACTTATTTCACTGAAGAAAGATTCAACTATACTATTATAGGAACTAATTGGATTTTTAAAACACTTAGAATATTGAAAAGAGATCATGTATTTTTCCTCCTATGGTACCAACACAACAGTGGCTGCTCAATAAACATTTTTTGAGGAATCAAGATATTCATCAGGTATCCTGTGCTCTTACATAACAGTGAGTATTTGCAGTTTCTGAGTTGTATTTATAAGGTAACCACAGTAAAAATAATGAGGACAGTAAGATCAGCACATGGCACTTACTCGACTACTATGCTCCAAAAGCGAAACAATGTTGGCTTCTATCTGTGCCTTCCTTTCCAGTTCCTGGTTCTTAGATTCCTCAAAAGTCTCAATAAAAGCTGTCGAGTGAAAAATATGATGAAAGGCTACTGTTGATATAAGCTCTGATTTGTAGGCCTGAGGTGTACTTTTTAGAAAAAGTTCAAAGCAAATTTTTAACTACCACTTTAATTTTTTAACCCAAGGGTAATTAAATTACTCAATAAGAACATTTCTACATACTTTCAAACTTTTAAAGTTTAACTAGTATGATCTTAATACAAGTACACTAAATATTTATAAATGCAGGCTCAGAAGCAACAGCTGATAAGATGGAGATAAGAAAAATTCCTATGGTTTTACACTAGGATCTCATTGATACAGCTGCAATTATTAACATCTATAACTGGCCACTAACTTTACTTCTGAAAATACTACTATACCTCTTTTACCTGAAAACTGAGCATTTTCGTTGTGCCAAAATAGTCTCAATTAAATAAGTTTAGTGATTTATTCAGATTATAAATAAATATTCTAAGAAATCATTCTTTTCCTTCTCTAATATAGAATTACTATATAATTTGCTCTTATTTACATTCTTAAAATATTTCTATGGATCTTCCAAAAATTAACTTAATATAATTTTACTATTTGCATGAAACAACAAATTAATTTTGAGGTAGTTTTTGGTACTTGTTGAGATTTTTAAAGTAGTCTTGGGATATTGTTAAACCAGAGTTGGCCATTACTGATTTATAACATGATTCTATGAAGGTAACAACTGACATCAGACTTACAAAAATGTCAAATTATAGAAAAATGATAATTTAAAAGAGACTAGTAATCATTAATATAGTCAATTTTTATAAACTTTTGAATGTACAACATAAGTTAAAGTGAACATCTATTTACAAAGTTAAAATTCAGATTTTTTTTTTTTTTTTAAAGTGAATGAGAAGCCACCAGCCCAGGCTGGATGCATGAGACAAGTGCTCGGGGCTGGTGCACTGGGACGACCCAGAGGGATGGGATGGGGAGGGAGGCGGGAGGGGAGATCGGGATGGGGAACACATGTAAATCTATGGCTGATTCATGTCAATGCATGGCAAAAATCACTACAACATTGTAAAGTAATTAGCCTCCAACTAATAAAAATAAATGGAAAAAAAAAAAGTGAATGAGAAGCCACAACAGAAGTTTCAGTTAGTGACAGAACCAAGAAACAAAATCAGATGAGGGCTAATACATAACAAGATAAGTATTATGAAAAGCATAAAAAAGGTGAAAGATATTAAAGGTAAAGCATGTAAAAGAGAATATCCAATGTTCAATCAATGAGTGCTCTATAGACTCTCTATACAGATATCAACGTAAATATTAGCTTTAGAATCTATCCCTAACATACAGTCATACACATATATACACATGTACAAAATCTTTCTATAATTCTCTACCTATCCCTAACCTATGCTAGATATTTAGTAATACTTCAAGTCAAATGCTTTGAATGTACACACTTATGCACTTATTATTAGTCACTGCATCTTCCCAAAGTGAGATCTCTGATTTAGTATAAATAAACAACTATCTGAGAATATAACATTTTCACCATCTATAAGATTATCACTTACTGTCCATATTTTCCTCCCTCTTTTTTAGCTCCTTGTACTTCTGATTCATTTCACCTATAAGCAATAAAAGAAAACAACATTAATTTTAAAAACTCCAGTTACAGTACTCAAAATTAGAAATATCTCTTAGGTTCTTAGTCACGGACAATGCCATTAGTCACTACATATTCAGTGTTTAATATTAATGTTCAATTAGGTGAGATTCATTTAAATTGATTTTATTTTAAGTTATATATGTATATGCTTGACTACTTGGTAAAAAACAATCTCCTTACTGGAAAGAACTGAAAAGGTCTCCAAAGTTTCCCTATTTTAGTTCCAATTTCAACCGACACATGAACACACTGGTGATGGGAAATAAATGCTCCCACGAAAGTTCATTTCATCTTTGAAGAGCTCACAACAGCAAACAAAATAGCAGGGTTAGATTCCTCACAGAACTTAAAGTCTAAAGATTTAACAATTAAAATGTACTAAGTGCTATTAGATGAAAGTAAAGGATATAACAGCAGTACACAGCAAAGACAATCTAGTTTGGAGATTCAGGAAATTTTTCACTAAAGTAGTAGTATTTAACATGTGTGCATTATAAAGAAAGGATGAATAGGAGTTACTGGGTCAAAATATAGAAGAAGTTCAAAATGAAAGCATTATAAGTACTGAAATTTGAAAGTGAGGATGAATATGGTAGCACAAGGAACTGAAAGAGAATATGAAGGGGAAAAAGTGGTCCAAAGATGAGGTAGGAGCGGGTGGGATGAACTGCGAGTGGAGCACTGACACATATATACCACCAAGCGTAAAACAGATATCCAGCGGGAAACTGCTGCACAGTACCGGAGAGCTCAGCTCGGTGCTCTGTGATGACCAAGAGGGGTGGGACGAGGAGATGAGAGGGAGCCCCAAGAGGGAGGGGACACGTGTATACTTACAGCTGATTCACACTGCTGTACGGGAGAAACTAACACAACATTGTAAAGCAATTATACTCCCATTTAAAAAAAAAGATGAGGTAGGTTATGAGAGACCTTATATGGCATATGTTATAAAAGTTTGGATTTTCTCCTAAGGACACTGGTAAGATTACTGAAGAATTTTAAGCAGAGGAATAAAATTATCGATTTGCATTTCTAAAAAATATTTCTGATCAGGAGAATAAAAGACTGGAGACAATAAGACCAGTTAGGAGGTTGTCAATTAGGATATAAGGTAGAGACTTTTTTTTTTTTTGAGATATTTAAGAGCTAGAGTGAATTGACTGTGATGAGGGTTGGAGATGGAGAACTCAGGTATGACTCCCAGGTTTCTGTCTTGGGCAACAGAGGACACTGTCGTATTAGTTACTGAAAGAAAGAAAAAAGTTGAGGAAGAAGTTGCTTGAAGTAATTCTAGACAAGTTGCATTTAATATATGTGAAAGACATGATTAAAAGGGCAAAAATCCAAGGCCCAAACACAAGGATGAAATCTGACACTTTATAGCTGCATAAAGGGATCATTAGTAAAACTAGATCATGATTATTTTAGAAAAACAGGATTTTTAGTATAACAAAAATTGAGATTTGGAGGCCCAGGGCTATTTTCCTCAACTAGTGAGATGGCTGCAGTTCTGTGCTCCCAGGATCCCAGGTAGAGAAAATAGAATAAATTTGTGCTTGCTCCAATCTTTAGTTACTTCATTAAAGTCATTGGGTTCTTAGCATTCCGGAGAAGCTAAGGAAGTTTACTAAGATGATGCCCAGCAAAGATGGAGAGAATAAGAGATTTCTAAGGGGGCTCCTGGTAAGAAGCTGACATTTAGAATGCCTTTCAGAAGAAGGACTCAAAGAGAATGGGGGAGTCAACAGTTAAAATGTTCAGAGGTTAAAAACCCACTGGTCAGCCTGTGTTCTATATAGCCTCCTATTAAATATATGGTTTTGCCAGGTGCCAACTAAAACAGCAATAACGCTAGGGAGTGAAGTAGATAGAGTAGAACCCCTAATTACATGGCAGCTATGGATTTCCACTTGTATACTTGCTTGGGTAGGAAGTGGGTTACCAGTATATAAAGGTGATGGCGAAGTCAGAGACCCAAGTCAGCAGACAGCTTTTCTGCTTCCAGGTCTGAAAACACTTTCCCTAAATTTGTTAAGGATAGCCCTTACACAGAAAAAAAAAAAACTTGTCAAGGCCCCCACAACAGTGTGTGTGTGTGTGTATGTGTGTGTGTGTTAGTCACTCAGTCGTGTCTGAGTCTTTGTGACCCCATGGACTGTAGCCTGCCAGGCTCCTCTGCCCATGAATTCTCCAGGCAAGAATACTAGAGTAGAATAGGTAGGTAGCTATTCCCCTCTCCAGGGGATCTTCCTGACCCAGGGATTGAACCAGGTCTCCTGCATTGTAGGCAGATTCTTTGCCATCTTAGCTAGCACGGAAGCCCACAACAGTACTTGTAGTAAAAAGCTGAAAGCAACTGAATAAGGATAGTAAACATCCAGAAGTCATGAATTGCCAGCCGGGGAATACTCAGAACCAATGGGAAACATTTGGTTCAATCTGACTAAGGCTTTGGATACATTAACGTTAGTGAACTACTACTCAGTTCAGATGAACATCAGTGGTCTCAGCATACTGATGCAGCATGATTAGTTTCATAAAGGGAAGAGGAGGGATCTTCTTTTTTAACTTTTAATAATAAAGTTTGTATATGATTAAACTTTTTAAAAAGTACATTGTAGATGGATTAAGATTAGTCTTAAAATGATGTTACCATTCAGTTATTTGTAACATTAGTTTTTGGACAAGAAACACACAAAGAACATGAACTTATTATAGCATACATGATCTGGAATATCCTCACAGCAAGCTGATACGCATGCATGTTAAATAACATGTGTGAAGCAGCAGAAAAGTTAGTATCAGCTAAATTGGTCATGGCCTAGGTTTCTAAGAAAGTCCTAGTGCTTGTGTGGCTGTGTGAGAAGTTGTCCTCTTGGGAGATTGGTCAGGTATTAAGGGATTAAAAAAGAAGGCCTGCATCACAGGCTTTACAGGAATTTAATGACCATTTTATCTTTCCTCTTCTAAACTTAAGAGAATTTTCTACACAGGATGTTTTCAGTTCCTCATCTTGCTATTAGACCTCAAGACACATAATCAGGCTTATCCTCCTGCCACTTAAATGAAATTGTTCACAGAAAGATGATGATTCCTCAATTATCAAATCTAACAGGCAGTTTTGAGTTATTTTACTCTTCAATATATACTGATACATCTTCTTTCTTCTAATTCTTTCCCCCTCGTGTTTTGCTGCTTGCAGAGGCAGCTTTTCTGGTTTTTCTTACTTTCAGATCTTTCCTTCTCTGTCTCTCTTCACAGATTTCCCTTTCTTCATTTAAATTCCAGATTCTTCTCTTAGTTGACTTCTAATGCTACGTTCTTTCCTTTTCTCCTTTGCCTTTCACTTAAGAAGAGAAAATAGACAAAGGAGAAAAGGAAAGATATACCCATTTGAATGCAGACTTCTAAAAAATCTCAAGGAGAGCCAAGAAAGTCTTTCTCAGTGATCGATGAAAAGAAATAGAGGAAAACAATAGAATGGGAAAGACTAGAAATCTCTTTAAGAAAATTAGATACCAAGGGAACATTTCGTGCAAAGATGGGCACAATAAAGGACAGAAGTGGTATGGACCTAACAGAAGCAGAAGATATTAAGAAGAGGTGGTAAGAATACATAGAAGAACTACATAAAAAAGATCTTCATGACCCAGATAATCACGATGGTGTGATCACTCATCTAGAGCCAGACATCCTGGAATGAGAAGTCAAGTGGGCCTTAGGAAGCATCACTAAGAACAAAGCTAGTGGATGTGATGGAATTCCAGCTGAGCTATTTCAAATCCTAAAAGATGATGTTGTGAAAGTGCTGCATTCAGTATGCCAGCAAATTTGGAAAAGTCAGCAGTGGCCACAGGACTGGAAAAGGTCAGTTTTCATTCCAGTCCCAAAGAAAGGCAATGCCAAAGAATGCTCAAAGTACTGCAAAGTTCCCCTCATCTCACACACCAGCAAAGTAATACTCAAAATTCTCCAAGCCAGGATTCAACAGTATGTGAACCATGAACTTCCAGATGTTCAAGCTGGTTTTAGGAAAGGCAGAGGAACCAGAGATCAAATGGCCAACATCCGTTGGATCGTCAAAAAAGCAAGAGAGTTCCAGAAAAACATCTACTTCTGCTTTAATGATAATGCCAAAGCCTTTGACTGTGTGGTTCACAACAGACTGTGCAAAATTCTTCAAGAGACGGGACTACCAGACCACCTGACCTGCCTCCTGAGAAATCTGTATGCAGGTCAAAAAGCAACAGTTAGAACTGGTCATGGAACAACAGACTGGTTCTAAATAGGAAAAGGAGTACATCAAAGCTATATATTGTCACCCTACTTATTTAACTTATATGCAGAGTACATCATAAGAAATGCTGGACTGGATGAAGCACAAGCTGGAATCAAGATTGTCGGGAGAAATATCCATAATCTCAGATATGCAAATGACACCACTCTTATGGCAGAAAGTGAAGAAGAACTAAAGAGCCTCTTGAGGAAAGTGAAAGACGAGAGTGAAAAAGTTGGCTTAAAACTCAACATTCAAAAAACTAAGATCATGGCATCTGGTCCCATCACTTCATGGCAAATAGATGGAGAAACAGTGGAAATAGCATTAGACTTCATTTTTTTTGGCTCCAGAATCACTGCAGATGGTGACTACAGCCATGAAATTAAAAGACGCTTGCTCCTTGGAAGAAAAGTTATGACCAATCTAGACAGCATATTAAAAAGCAGAGATGTTACTTTATCAACAAAGGTCCATCTAGTCAAGGCTATTGTTTTTCAAGTAGTCATGTATGGATGTGAGAGTTGGACTACAATGAAAGCTAAGCACTGAAGAATTTAAGCTTTTGAACTGTGGTGTTGGAGAAGACTCTTGAGAGTCCCTTGGAAAACAAGGAGATCCAATCAGTCCTTCCTAAAGGAGATCAGTCCTGAATATTTATTGGAAAGACTGACACTAAA